TAAGCACTGGGGATACAAATGGGAAAGTGAGAACAGACTGGGGAGATAACACATATGGAAGGTTTCAGCTGTAAGACAGATGGAAAAGTCTTATTGTCCTTAAGGTGCAGCAGCCAAGCAGGTGTCCGTGCCTTTCTTTACAATGTCATTATTTAGTGTCACTATAACCAGGGCTCTCAGTTTCTGGGCTTTTCCCATCAGGGTCTGAGGGGATATGGTAGTCAAGGTGGTGGTGGTTGACTTGTCACCCACTGCATCCTGGATCCCCCTGAGGGTGTCTTGCTGCTCCAGCCAGGCTGGCTTGCCTACCCTGAGGGTGGCATTTGGTTGGCAGTGGGTGGGGATGGCTGGTTCTTTTTCCATAGGAGTTGCTTCCTTGGATAATGGCTATGAGAGCTGGGCTGAAAGTGGAAATGATGATCTGGGGACTGCAACCACTCTCAGGGCTCCTGTGCCTCTCTGCCTATTAGTGGCAGTTGGTTAACAGTTGTTGGTAGTGATGAGGAAGGTGGGCCTCATCTTCACAATGACTTCTCCCCTCAATAATGACTGGGAGAAGGTCTGTTGGTTTATGAGGCACTGCTAACCTGAAGGTTGATATGATCTGTGGAAAGCACTTTGTAAAACTATATAATCGTGAGCTATTTTGGAAGGCTCCATGAATAAGGTAGAAATAAAATTTTTGCTTATTAGTAAAAGTGGCCTCCTGGGCCAGGACTATAATCCTAACCTTTTTGCTCAGATCCCTAAATTTAAGAGAATAAGTCCCAACATCTAGAAGATTCAGAAATTCAGGAATGCAACATTTCTAGGCAGGGTCATGCGAGTCAGATCTGGTGAATATGGATGACAGACTAGATTTCCTCAGAGAATGAAGATTTCTGAATTACACTGAAGAATAACAGTTTGTTAGTAAAAGTCTGAGGGGGAAAAAAAAGAAGTCCTCCAGCCATTTCAATAATTGGCCTGGCACAGACCAGACTCTGAACTTGAATTTTGTGGAAACTTTAACAAGTCCTTTATAACACAATGAAAGGGGCACTGGCCCTTAAAACAAAGGACCTGGATTAAGATTCTATTTCTAAGGGGCAGCTTGGTGGTGCAGTGGATAGAGCTCTGACCTTGGAATCAGGAGGACCTGAGTTGAAATCTAGCCTTAAACATTTGATACTTACTAGCTGTGTGACCCTGGGCAAGTCACTTAACCCCAATTGCCTCACCAAAAAGTAAAAAGAGAAAAAAAGAAAGAAAAAAGCAATAAAAAAATTCTACTTCTAACACTGACAGTGTAATCTTGAACAAATCATTTAATTTCCCTGGGCCTCAAGCGTCATCTGTGAGATGACCTTAGAGGTCCCTTGTTTTACTTGACTGATGATCCTTTGATTCTACTAGAACAATGGAATGAAGAGGACATGAGGCAACGCAGAGACAAAAAAATCCTTGCCTCCTTATTCCTCCATATTCCAAACTAGGAGACATCAGCTGCGGGCAGAAAGACTCATTTCTACCATAAGATTAATAGCAGGGACCCAGAGACCCTTTCCCTAGTTTTCTGGCAAAGGCAGCTAAAATCATTTCCTAAAATTTTAAAAAGGCAGAATTGTTGGTGAATATATTCAGAAATCAATAGTGGGAACAGGTATGGCCAGGTAGCCAAGAGCTTCAGCTACAAGAACCTACATGGTATGCTCACCATCCTCTCTGCCTCACCCTGAAACTGTCCACTTGGTTTCTGTGTAGCTGTTTCCACTTTAGTAAAAATTGTCTCCTGCTGCTGATCAGTGAGCTGAATCTTCAAGTACAGTTTCTTGTTGCTCTTCTAATGATGAAAGCTCCTTAGGGTTACAAAGTGTTCAGAGACCCATGGCCTCATCTAACCCGCTAATTTTTGTTTTTGTTGTTATTGAGTCATTTTAGTCATGGCCAACTCTGCACAACCCCATTTGGGGTTTTCTTGGCAAGGTTACTGGAGTGGTTTGCCATTTCCTTCACCAGCCCATTTTACCATTGAAGAACTGAAGCAAATAGGGTCAAGTGACTTTCCCAGGGTCACACAACTACTAAGTGTCTGAGGCCAGATTTGAGTTCAGGAAGACCGATCTTCCTGACTCCAATCCTGACACTCTATCCACTCCTCCATCTAGCTGCCAACCCTCTAATTTTACAGGTAAGAAAATTGAGAGTCAGAAAGATTAAATAATCTGATTATTGAGAAAGTATCTCTTTTCCCAAAGGTATCAAGTAACAGACTTTGGGATTTGAATCCAATGTTACTTTATCCATACTATGTTATTTGATTCTCACCATAGCTCTGTGATGTAAGTTAGCGTTACCCCCTTTTTAACAATCAGAGTCGTCACAAAGTCTCAGAGTGTCAAAGTTACAAGGGAACTCAGAGGCTGTGGAGTTCAACCTGTGCCTAAGCATGAATCCCTTCTAGACCATCTCTGTCAAGTATCATCCATCCTCATCTTGAAGACTTTCTCGAATGGGGAACCCATTACCTCCTGAGGCACTCTATTTCTCCCTTTTGGCAAGAAGGTTTTTCTTTTTTTCCTTTTTTTTCTTAATAGTATTTTATTTTTTCCCATTACATATGAGAAGGTTTTTCCTTACACCAAACCAAAATCTGCCTCTATCACCCATTATCCCTAGCTCCAATTCCAAGCAAAACAAGTCTAATCTTTCTACATAATGGCTTTAACAATCTGCGAACAAGAGATATTATTTTTAACTCCCAGCATTTCCTTATAGTTTGATTGGGGGGGGGGGCGTGGTAATGTGGCCACAGTGAAGATTTAAAGACACAAAAACTAGATTCAAATCCCAAGTCTGTTACTTCTTACCTACGTGAAATCCGTCAAATTATTTAGTCTCTTTGGGTCTCAGTTTTCTTGCCTATAATATCAGAGTTATACGGTTAGACTAGATAGGTGATCTCCAAATTTTCTTGATCATTTGCCCCATGAATAAACATTTTTGAACATATGCCTCTAACATATGTATATTGGTTGTTCGGTCATTTCAGTCATAACCAACTCTTCATGACCATATTTGGGATTTTCTTGGCAAAGATACAGGAGTAGCTTGTCATTTCTTTCTCCAGTTCATTTTACAGATGAGGAAACTGAGGCAAACAGGGTTAAGTGACTTGCCTAAGGTCAAGCTAGTAAGTGTCTGAGGCTGAATTTGAACTCAGGTCTTTCTGATTCTAGGACCCATATTCTGTCCACTGCACCATCTACCCAACCATATGTATATTTACTCCTTTATTAATTATATACATGTGTTCTGGTTCTAATAATTATAGACTACAAAACTAGGTAAAATAGAAATGAAAAAGGATGAGATAAAGATGAAAAAAATATATGATCCCATGTATCCATGCAGGCTACCCATATGCCTAGAATACACCCTCTCCTCATCTCTGAGCATTGAGATATTTCTCTTCCTTCAAGGCTTAGCTTAGGTACTACCTTCTCCATGAAGCCTTAACTGATACCTTCAGATGAAGGTGATTTCTCCTTCCTCAAATATTACTAGAGCATTTTGTCTGGACTACTTCTTTGCTTCTGTGGTTGAAGTCAGGAAAACCTGAGTTCAAATCCAGCCTCAAACACTTACTAACTGTGTGACTCTGGGCAAGTCACTTAACCCCAATTACCTCCAAAAAAAAAAAAGAAAAGAAAAGAAAATCTCATTGACATCTGTGTGGAAGATGGATTGGAGGGTTGAGACTAGAAGAAGAGAGGTTAATTGAGAGGCTACTACAAAAGTCCAGGCAAGAGATGATCAGGGCCTGAACTAGGGTGGTGAAAGAAACCACAAGTGCCAGAGATGTAGTGGAGGGTAGCAGTAGAAAGCACAAGATTTTACAATTGACTAAATTTACGGGGTGAAGGAGAATTAAGAGTCAAAGAAGATATTGATTTTGTGGACCTGAGTAATTATAAGAATAATGGTGCCCTCCTTAAAAGAAAGTTAAAGAGAAGGGTAGATTTTGGAGGAAAGATAAAGTAAGGAAATCTTTCACATAGCTCACAAATCATCTACATCTGTTTATCCTGGATGACTCACGCAGTCTCCTCTGAAACATGTGTGCAAAATGAGGGGAAGGCTCTTAGTCACTGAGCATGCCCCCAAAGAACAGTCCAGGGGTGCCTACTACAGTAAGGTGGTCACCAAGATCAGGATCAAGTATTTTAAGGTCAGGCTAAGTTGCCCCAGTTCCTTCCACAGAAAAAAATAAAATTTGAACTCTAATCCAGAAGCAGTAGAGCTACTAACATTTTGGAGGCAAGGGAGTGACTTGAATAGATTTCTACACAAGAAAATTTGTCTGGTGGTAGTGTGAAAGATGGATTGTAAGAGGAAAGAGGGAAGAAGTGGGAAGACCTATGGAGAGGCTATTGTTATAATATAGGTAAGTAATAATGAAGGCTAATGGCAGGGCTTTCTGGAGCAGCTAGGTAGAAAAGCAGATAGAGAAGACTCATCTTCCTGAGTTCGAATCTGGTGTCAGACACTTACTGTGTGACCCTAGGCAAGTCACTTAACCCTGTTGGTCTCAGTTTCCTCATCTGTAAAATGAGCCAGAGAAGGAAATGGCAAACCACTCCAGTATCTTTGCCAAGAAAACCCCAAATGGGGTCACAGAGACTCGGGCATGACTAAAAACAACTGAACAACAACATCGTAGGGCTCAGCAGTGGAAACATGGAAGGAAAGGGGACAAAAGATATTGACAAGTCACCTCATTTCTTTAGGCCTAAATCTCATGATTTGTAACAGGTCTGAGAAGTAGAGTAGATTATTTCTGCATTCCCTTCTAGATGTAAAATTCTATTAACAACCAAAACCCAAAAAGGCATATATTTGTTAAGGGAACCCAAAGAAGGAGAGATAATTCTGATTTCATTTCAGGTTTTTATAAAACAGCCATGTTTCCTTTGAAAAATAACTGCTAACCAGCACTTGTTTTTTGTTTCCCTTTGTAGCTCTATTTACTGCTTACCTGACCTCAGCGTTAACAAGCATGATGGCTGTGGTAAGTATGACTTTATCTGGATTTTCCTATTGTGTTAGAATGAGTACTATAAGCTCCTTTGGAACTTCTCTAGACTAGTTTGTATCAAATCCAAGGGAGCTTGATTTTGTCCAACATCACAGTAAACTTTGGTCCACTATGTCATTGAGTCTGTTGAAAATACAAGTCACGTAGTATAAAACTGGTGATGTATGCTGTCGTTCAGGTTGTCTGTTAGATGTCACAAATCTATCCCCTCATTAGACAGGCAAAATGTGAGTTCTTGGGAGCTAATCTCTACGTACTCCAGTTTGGACACACCAAGATGGTAGTCTTTGGGACTCAAGGGACAAAGACAAAATGAGAAAAAATCAGTCATCCAAACCCCCCAAATTAGTGCCTCCTTTTTTAAAAATCACTTCTCATTCCTCCAGATTTTTGCTTATATCTGTCAGTTGATCAATAAACATTTTGTAAGCACAGGTCTGGCTTAATCATTAAATAAGCGGTGTGATTTCAGCAAAATCAGTTCTATATCTGAACATCTGGTTGCTTGTGTCTAGAATGCTCTCCCTGCCCTCCCTTCTTCAGTTGCATTCTTCCCCATCCTTTCTTGATCCCACCATTTCCATAACAAACTTCTTCCCTGGACCTCATTTGATCACTCTGCTTTGCAGCAACCTGAGGTACTTATTGAACATTGTGTACTATAATTATTTTTTTAAAAAAGAAAAACATTAAATATCTACTGTGTGCCAACCACTGTATCTGGTAAGAGAGAGACCCCCAAAGAAAAAAAGAGCCCCTGACCCCAAGGACTTACTTACACTCTACTGGACAATATGTCAGTTAACCAACAAGCATTTATTAAGAGCCTACTGTTTGCCAGGCACCATGCTAAACATGGGGAATACAAAGAAAAAGCCTCTGCTCTCAAAGAGTTCATGGTCTAACAGGGGAGAGACAACAGGCAAACCACCATGTACAAATTTTTATGTGTGTGTGGATCTTTGTACATGTATGTATTTATGTATATATATATATATATATATATATATATATCTAAAATAGACACACGTACACACTCTCAATTTATCCTGTGCATGTATATGTGTATTTATGTGTGTCTACACCCTCTCAATTTATCCTGTGTATATATAAATGTGTGGGTGTGGGTGTATACAAAAACAAACAAACACACACACACACACACACACACACACACACATATACCCAGAGGATAAATGGAGAATTAACTAACAGGGAAGACACTAAGATTAAGAAGAAACAGGGCAGGTTTCTTGTAGACAGTGGGACTTTAGCCAAGACCTACAGAAAGCCAGGAATCCAGAAGACAGAGCTGAGGAGAGAGTTCTAGGAATGGAGGAGAGCCAGCAAAGACGCACAGAATCAAGAGATGGAGTGTCTTGTTCCAGGAGCACCATGAAGGCCGAATCACAGGATACAGAGTTTAGAGAGGGGACTAAGGCATAAGAGAACTGGAAAGATAGAAAAGGGATCTAGTTACGACAAATACATTTTTTTTAGAAGATCTGTCACTTCACTGGCATAAGGAGTCCCTCACTAGGAAAGTAGATTGCTACCTGTTCAACAATTTAGGATCTTAGATAGCTATCAGGAGCATTGGGTGGTTAAGTAACTTGCCCAGGGTCACACACACAATTTGGGTGGGAGGTAGGATTTGAACCCATGTCTTTCTGACTCCAGGACCAGGCCATGTTGCTTCTCAAATGAAAAATAGACATAAAGTTAAGGCAAAGTAATGTTGGCTGAGGGAAGTAGGGGGGAAAGGATACTAACAAATAGAGATTAGGAAAGGCCTCCTATAGGCATTTAGGGGCAACTAGGTGGCACCACAGTGCATAGAACATGGGACCTGGAGTCAGGAAGACTCATCTTCATGAGTTCAAATCTGGCCTCTGACACTTACAAGCTGGGTGACCCTGAGCAAATTATTTGACCCTGTTTGCCTCAGTTTCCTCATCTGTAAAATGAGCTAGAGAAGGAAATGTCAAACCACTCGAGGTTCTTTACCAAGAAAGCCTTAAAATGGGGTCACAAAGAGTCAACACAACTAATCAATTAAACAACAGAATCTATAGGAGTTGGCACTTCAGTTCAGTTTTGGTGTAAGTTCAGAATTCTAAACGGGGGGGGTGGTAAACAGAGAGTGAATTCCAAGTACGTGTGCCCTTTTGTGCCAAGATCCTCCACTAACACAGGAGAGACCTGGGAGACAGAAGGCTGTGTATGGAGAACAGTAAGAAGGCCAACTTAGCTGGAAAGTACATCAGTGTACGATAAATTTAGAAAGCTAGGCTAGAACTAGATTGTGAAGGGTTTTAAATGCTAAACAGATGAGTCCATACTTTATCCTAGAAGCCATAGGGAATAGAGGAAACCACAAGAGTTTCTTGAGAGTGGTGGGGGAGGGAACAGGGCTGGGAAGAGGGATGGACCAAGTGGAATATATGCTGAAGTTCTAAAGCTGGAGTCAGAGGCGCTGGGTTCAAATCCCATCACTGATGATTACTCTCCATATGCTCTTAGGCAGGTCATTTGACCTCCCTGGGGTTATTTAACCTCAATTTATTTACTGGTCATATGAGGGGGTTAGACAGGATGGTCCCTGAGGAGCCTTCCAGCTCTCAAGCTCTGATCTTACCTCAGCATTCCAGGAAGACTTGAGCTATCTCTGTTTCCTGTTCCCTCTTTTCCAGTTTGGTTTGTCAACGTGTACCTGGCCCTTCTGCTTGGCCACACTCATATTCCTCTTAGTGACAACGAAAAATCACTCAATCTACAAGCTGCCGCTCAACAAAGTAACTTACTCCGAGAAGAACCGCATCTTCTACCTGACCGCAAAGAAAAAGTTAGCAGAAAGCCCTTTGTGATGGAAAGACCAAGTCAAAGCCAACCTGTCTGATTTTAAACCCAGATGACACCATCGACTTGTAGTATCTGTGAATTAATATCTTGTACTATACTAGAATCTTTCAAACTAACCATACAGCAATTACTACTCTTTATTCTTGATAAAAAAAAAAATCCATCTTTTTCACTTGCTTATTTTCATCTAAGATAGCAGGTAACATGCCCCAGCAAGTCACTACATCTCTCTGGGCCTCAGTTTTCTCATCTGTAAAATGAGAAGGTTAGAATACATGTGACTTCTATGTTCCCTTTCAGCTCCAAATCCAATAGGCTTATACTCTGACACAAAGAAAGAGGCTATGGATTTGTAAATACTTGATTTGGAGGAGAGTTGGAGAATTAAAGAATGTATTGGTGATAGACTTTCAAAGCCCCCCATTCACTAAAAGAGAAGAGGAAGTGAGTACAGAGGCTGCTGTTCTGTTGCTCTTTCCTGTGTGTGATAGGATGGTTGTGATTAACAGATGTATAAAAGATATTAACAGTATTAAATATTAAGTGCTATGCCTAACTGGCCTTCAGTCAATAGAGCCCAAAGCAGCAGACAGCCCAAAGGTCATCTCAAATAGAAAGGAAGATGTTTAAAACATTCAATGCTGGCTACACTATGAAGTCTAACATTGTGAGCATGGCTAGGTGAATAGTCACAGCAGCTAGAGTCTCCACGTAATAATAAAAAGTTAAGTTTTTGTCCATTGTTGTTTTATGTTCTCCTAGTTACAGGGCTCCTTGGCCTTGGGTTGGGTTGGGTTGTTTTCTCCCTCAGCACTGACAGTGAAGTAGGAGGGAGACAGGATATGATTAATATCTGTCCTGCACTTGTTGAGGTCTAGCAATGACTTCAAAAACACCGTCTCCTGAGAATAGAGTTATTTTGAAGAGAATAAAATGAATGAACCTCTCTTCTCAGCTTCACCACCTCATTAAATTTACAGAAAAGTTACATATTGATTGAACTAGCCTTTGAAATACTTGGCAGAGACAATTTACTTTAAATTAATAAAAATTATTTTGAATATACCATGAATATTAGTAAAAGGAAATTGGTTGTTAATCCTTTGGCAATTTACAGTCACATTTTTCAGATTTGACCCTTTTTTTTTTTTGCGTATTTTCAAAGCTTGGGGCTTATTCCGTTGGGTATAATGATTGCTTATTGATGTTACTTGTTAAATTAATAGTCTATTAAATTAACACAATAACTTTTATACTAAAAACTTTATCTCATTAATTTATGTGGAATGATACTATTGTGCTTTCAGAAACCAAAGGGGTTTAAACTACCAAAAGAATGTAGGTAATGACTTCTACGACATTCAGGTCTATATGCTAGAATAGCCTACTAAGGATCCCCAAAATAGTTGTAGAGCTTGATCCCTTCACCTCTTTTAATCATTGTGACTGGTTGACTGAGCTGTCTGCCAGCATCAAGCCATCCAGTGACCATTTAAATTGGTTAATTATATTTTTGCTGGCTGGCTTGGTACTGATTGACATCTTAGCTAGCCAGGCACAGGGAACGCAAGAACACTGAAAACAATGGATGTATCCTCTTCCTTCAGGACACTGCCACTTTTTCAACCCAAGAAGGTTTCAGGTAGCATCTGAAAGACAAAGCATATGCTGCTTTGCCAAGAAAAACTCTAGAACAGCAGCAGACACCAGACCACTGCTTAGTCCAGCTCTCATCACTTCAGAAGGAATTTCAGGGAGGGGAGGTTATGATGGTCCAGCTGAAGACAGAGCATCTTCACTTGGGTCATTGGCCCAGTTTGGTTACAGCCTAGAACATGGGTGGGGAACCTGCAGCCTTGAGGCCACATGGGGCCTTCTAGGTCCTTGGGTGTGGCGTTTTGACTGAGTTCAAGTTTTACAGAACAAATCCTTTTATTAAGGGGGTTTATTCTGGGAAGTTTGGATTCAGTCAAAGGGCCGCACTTGAAGGCCACAGGTTCCCCACTCGTGGCCTAAAAGATACTGGAAGGAAATGTGGTAGTGCTTTTACCCCCTTGTTAATCATTATAACACAGCCTGTACATGCCACCAAAATACATGCTCAAAATGGAATGACATTTTGGCTAAAATGGGAATCTGTCATTTTGGAAGTTTTAGAAAATTTTTTTTTTACTCACAGTTTCCAATGCAAAGTCTATATTTACACTCATTGAAGTGATGGACTGGTACCAAAGAAGTAATCAGTCAATTAACAAGTATTATTAAGCATCTACTATGTGGCAGGAAGTATGCTAGGAGGTAGGGGATACTAAGGCAGTCTCTGCTCTCAAGAAACTTACCTTCTATTGAATGGCTCAAGGAGGACATCATAGATCGTAGCTATTTTTCCTCTGGGGAAAATTTAACAGTTTTTCTCATATGAAGGCCCTGGTGATCAAAGATTTTTTATTTCTTTAGTTTGCAACTGTAATTCAACAAGCATTTATTATGCTAGGTGCAAAGCATACAAAGAAAGGAACAAAAGATCCTACCTTCTAGTAATTCTTTCTAAACATGTATACATTCCTATGGAAAAAAGAAATCTTCATTGTTTGAATTGACATTTATTTTGTCAGAGAATCTGTGAAATGAGAGCTTTGGAAATCAGGAAGAACAGCAATAATAAATAACGAAGAAAACAAAATGCTACACAGGTTCTGAAATCTGTGCTCCAATTATGAGTGAATGAGCAGCAATGGAGATGATTCATGTATGACTCATGCTCAGAGTGGATCGATGATCGGCAAGTTTCTGTTCTGAATAGAGCAACTTTTCATGAAGTGACTTCACACAATTGTAAATATACTCATTTGAAAGCACTGTAAATAGGACAAGCTAAAATGGTGTTGATTTCCTTGTTTCTTGTTACATAATGAATATTATTCTAACAACATGCACATATTTTTATCTTTGCTCCAATGAAGAAATTTGTGTGTATGTGTTTTTCTATCATTTGTATTACATTTCTATGCAAGCTTATACCAATAAATAAATATATTCACAATTCAGTCACAGGTGCTTGTTTTAAAGATAGATAGACAGACAGACAAATAGATGTGACATTCATTCATTCAACCAAAAGTAGTTACTAAGTACTTTCTGTAGCAAGAGAGACAAGACACAAAAACTAAATAACTCTAATGCATAACATTACATGATAAATATATTAAAGAAGCACAAAACCAGGTACTTACTATGTGAGAGAAGGAGTTGGGGAGGGAGAAAGAGACAGCAAGATAGTAGGGTGTAATGGCTAGAGAACAGGATCTGAAGACTTTGGTTCAAATTCTGCTTCTAGTGCTATCTTAACCATGAGCAAATCACATAACTTCTAAGACCCTCAGGCAACTCTCTAAAACTCTGTACAGTACCCAAGGCTCCATTTTGAACATGATCTCTACCTTCACACTAGTTCATTTTTGAAGCACTTTGTGGGTGCTGGTCAGCTTTCCAATAAAAACTATAATTCATAAGCCCAGAATTGTTCAAATCAAACAGCAGAGTAAGACAACTGACAAAAGTTTCCTCCACATGTCCCAGGAGAGACTCTCCCACAAATTGGCATACCATTAAGGTGGAATAAATACACATAGAGCCCTTGTGATCAAGACAACATACATAGCAGGACATGCATGTGGCCAGGACACACACTCAGAGGGCAACATATATTTCTGGCATTACAGAGTTTCCAATGTCCTCTGGTGAAGTCACAGAACAAGCTGCTTTCTCTGCAGAGCCTTAGTCCTTTTATGCCCTATTTTTTCCACTGCATGGGGCAGCTGGGTGGCACAGTGGATAGAGTGCTGGACCTGAAGTCCTGGAGATGCATCTTCCTGAATTCAAATCTGGTCTCAGACACTAGCTGTGTGGCCCAGGGCAAGTCACTTAACTCTGTTAGCCTCAGTTTCCTCATCTGTAAAATGTGCTGGAGAAGGAAATGGCAAACCACTCCAGTATCTCTGCCAAAAACTCTTCAAAATGGGGTCATAAAGAGTAAGACGCAACTGCAAAAGTACTGAACAACAACAACTTTCCCCACCACCTGCTCTCTACTAGATGGTCTTCATTGCTCTCTGCTGCGGCCATTGGGTACCTCTAATGTTCTCTACTTCTATCTGTTGGTGTCTACTGAAACATTCTTGCCTACAGGGTATCTGCTCTGAAAAACCCTTAGCCCTAGGCTGTCCTTTTCAGATGCACTCAGCAAGCTAGGGAAAGCCTTTGTGTATTTTAAGTCTCTCTTCTGCACCAGCTCTTCTTCTCTGACTTTTTGTTTAATTCTTTTCTGAGCAAGGGATTTTCTGGCTCTACCATAGCCCCAGTCAAAGCAAGTCATTTCCCAGGTCTCCATTTAACAAACTGCAAAGGGGCTGAGTGAAGCTGTGATGAAAAGATTGTTTTCAACTCTCATCATGTTTCTTGTGTTCCATGAAAATCACAGGGGTCTGGCTAGGTGGAGCAGGCTGTAAAGTGTGGGTGACCAATGGATTATGATTTGGATAGGTCAAGAGAATGTCAACGTTGATCAAATCACAGGCCCTTGACTACTGCTATGAATGTGTTCAAGTAGGTGTATACATGCATACACACATGCATGCATATACATTGAATTGAGGGATCTGGAACTGTTATTTCACTGTTGGAGGGAACTTTCAGTATGGGAACTCTCTCCACAGATGCAAATCAGTGACTCATCTGTAGCTTATACTCTTTTTTTTTTAAGATTTAATTAAATTTAAAGAGCATGCCAGCCCTCTTAAAGAAATTGTTTGTCCAGCACATCAGCACTCAAAGTCCTAGTGTCTCAAAGTCCACTCCTGCATAGTTCATCTGGAAAGCTTCTGCAGCACAGATACAGGGAGGTCTTCCTTTACCTCCCTCCTTCTGCACCTTTGATGGCAAGACAGCACTACTCCTCCAGGGACCAGGACAGCAACGGATAGAGCAACAGCTAGAAAGTGCTTTTAATCTTGGCTGCTACAAGCACAAGGATCTCCCCAATTTTCTTCTGCCTGTTCTCAATGTCCTTGGACACTTCACCCCACAGTTCCCCGTGGCAGGGCTTCACATTCTCATAGCACTTCTTTACCTCTTCCTGCTGTTCCTCTGTACCATGTCGGAATTCACATCTGTGGAAGAAAGCCCTGGCATTCCACAGTTCTGAGTCAATGTTTACTGTTCAGCGGAACCATTCCCTGACCTTGGTGATCCGTTCACTCCAGAACAATTTAGCCATAGCTAACAGGACATGGGGGTCATGTTTGCAGTTCTTCAGGGCATCTACACTCTTGGACTTCCTCTGGGGTCTTGACTCAAGGGAAATTGCTTCTGATCACAGGATGCCTGAGTTGGGACATTCCTGCAGTTCCTCTGCCATGAACATATTGGTGATGTTCTTCAATCCAGTTTGATATTCGAATTCACAGATTCTAACTACAAAGCAGGGTTCTTTGGATTCTTCAAACGAGATTTCTCCAAAATGGCTCTTGTGCTGGTTAGCTGTTCAACCTTCTCCTCCAGTCTTGAAAATAAAAGCCATAGGGGTGTGCAGTGGGGCACTTCTTCAAGCCCTGGTTACAGGTTTCCTGGGCTTTTTCAGTCAGCTCCTACTGCTTCACAATCTGCCCTTGTACCATCCACAGTTTGGAGAAAAATTCATAGTGCTTCAAGACTTCTTCACAGAGATCCTGAGTGGCTGCAATGTTCCCCAGCACCCAACTTGAATAAGCTTAGCAGATTTCATGAACACCCTTGTAGAGGGAGCACTGCTCCCAGCCTTGGCCAGCAGTCTCCTTGCCCACTTGTATTCATTGCTCTCTGACTCAAGTTTCACAGTAGCCAACCAAATCTCTTCACCATTAGTGAAAACCAAGGCTAGGATGCTCCTTGAGACAGGCATATCTCCCACCAACCACCTGGACTTGGCACCCAGGAGCCAGGGCACCTCAGCCTTAGGGTAGTGGGCCATTCATTGCTCTCTGCAAGAGGGCTTTGAGGGATTCCCTGGTCCCCAGGTTCTTCTCAAAGTAAGCAGCTCATTGATCACACACTCTTCTTGCTATGGAAAACTTGCAGGGCACAGGCATAAATAA